GGCACATAACAACAATAACAACATGGTGTTAGGAAGAAAAAGAGTTTGGGGTGGGGGGGTCAGGGGTGTGGACAAAGAGAGGAGAGGGTAGGAAGGGGAAGAGAGGAGAGGAGAAAAGAGAGAAAAATAAAGAAACAGGTCCCAAGAAATGAACAAGCCTTTACTGCCTGGTCTGAGAGGGATTCCAAGAGACCTGGTTGCACAGCATGTTGAGAGAGTTAAAATTGGGGTTGTGTGTGTTTCCTTCTTATAGGGGTCATGGGAGGACTAAGGAAGATGGTATTTCTCAGAGTTGGGTGTGTTAATTAAGTTGGTTTTGAGCTATTGTCTTCAGGCTCAGAGTCTTATCAGGATCCATTGTCTAGTCTGATCTTTGATTTGATATGGGCAGCTTAGATGTTATCAGGTTTCTCAGGAAGTGATCAGGCCTGCAAGTTGGGCAACTGCTATATTCTTCCTCCACACGGGCTATTCAGTATTCTCATTCAATGCCACACCTCAATGTCATCAGTTGTCCATATTTTGGTTGCAAAGCAAGGAATTGAAAAGGCCATGAGCTGAATCAGTTGCACCTTGGTCTTAACTTACATAGTTGCTCTTCGGTATTTTGGAGAGATCCCTGACAGCAGACTTGCTCAAAGCAATACATCTCCTTATCTCCTGACTGCTGGTACCAAGGATATTTATTGATTGTGAGTCCAAGAAAGATGAAATCATTAACAGTTGCAATCCTTTATTTATCAAGATGCTCCCTGTGAGAAGGACCTTTTTTTTTTTCGGTAAGATGCAATCCACATGGAAAACTCTTGTTTTTGATCTTCTACAACAAGCCCTTCAGGTCCCCCTCCTTTTCAGCAAACAAGATGGTGCCACCTGTATAGCAGTGTTAATTGATGAGTCTTACTCCAGTCTTAATGCTACATTCTTCTTCAAAGAGGCCACTTTCACTAATTATTTCCTAAACATACAGATTGAATAAGAATGGAGAAAGGATACACTCCTGAAACACACCTTTCCTGATTTTAAACCTTTGTTGCACTTGAACAGAATCTCCTTGGTCTAGGTATAGATTTTGTCTGAACACAATAAAGTGCTCTGGGATTCCCATTCTTTTCAATGTCAGCCATAGTTTGTTGTGATATACACAGTCAAAGCCTATGTATAGTCAGTAAAACACGGATAGACACTGTTCTGATATCTGCTCTCAGCTAGAATCCATCTGACATCAGTAGTGATATCCCCGGTGTCATGGCCTCTTCTAAATTAAGCTTGAACTTCTGGCAGTTCCTTATTAATGTACTATCCTAGTTGTTTTTTAATGATCTTCTGCAGTATTTTACTTGAATGTGATATTAATATTGTTTGCTAATTTCCACATTCTGTTGAATCACCTTTTTTTGGGGAGTGGTAACAAATACATGTATCTTCTTGTCAGTCAGCCAGGAAACTGTCTTCCAAATTACGTGGTGTAGATTGGTGAGCACATCCAGGGTTGTGTCTGAAGGTCCTAGGATTTATTATTTTGTTCCTTTGTGATGCTGACATTATTGTTGTTAGATATAAAAAAAGAGCATGAGGGCATGAGGGAGAGAAATAAAGAAAGGCATTGGTCCCAAGAAACGAACAAGCCTTTATTGCGTGGTCTGAGAGGGACGCCAAGTGACGAGCAGCATGGCATGCAGACGGGATCAAAAATGGCACACGGGCAGTTGGAGGGGTTTCCTTTTTATAGGGCTCCTAGGAGGACTAGGATGGTATTTCTCAGAATTTGACATGTTAATTAAGTTAGGTTTTAGAACCCTTTTTCCAAGCACAGACCCTTATCAGGATACATTGTCTGGTCTGGTCTTTGATATGACCAGCTTAGATGTTATCTAATTTTTCAGGAAGTGAACAAGCTTGGGGCAACTGCCATATTCTTCCTTCAGTTGTTATATAGCTTGGAACCAGAAGCAACTCAAAGCTGACCCTCCAGCAGGTTTTGAGAGGCTGTAAATCACCTGGGAAGAGATGACTCATCTTTCTATCAGATATTCTCAGGAACAGCTGATAGGTTTAAACCACCTGCCTTTGGGTTGACAGCTTGACAGCGCAACACCTTGCCACCAGAGCTAATGCTGTATGTGCTCAATAAAGAAACTTTTCTAGGGAAATGGGTAGGTTAAACTCAGAGGAGTTAGCACTGGGAATTTTTTTTCCAGTGTCTGCAGATTGACTTTTTAAATTAGTAATTGGGCATTTATCAGCTTGCTACCAGAGGCAAACAGCACAATTTCTGCCAGGCTTAAGCAGATCATGCTTTTATTCTAAACCACATCTGGGTCCCAGCTTGATGTATTTTTCTGCCCCTTCTCAAGTATTAATAGGAGGTGGTGCTAATAGAGAGCCTTGGTAGCCTAGTGATAAGAAGCTGCACTGCAATGCCAGATGCACTCAGTTCTAATCCACCAGCAGCTGATGGGCAATCTCCTCCTGGGTGGTTTACTACCTCTGAAAACCCGCTGGAGGCTCTGCTATGGGTCAGTTCCAACTTTGTGGTATAGAGCAACAAAAATATTAGGATAATCTTAGGAATCATGGTTTAAGATATTTTGGATTAATTTACTGACATAAATTTCACTTTTTAAACAATCCCAGAAAAAAAACAGAGAAACATGAAAATAGTGGAATGAATATAGACTCTGGAGCCAGACAGATCAGAGTTTGAACCCCATTCTGGCAATTGGGAGTGAGACAGACATTTGGGCTGGGTATTTAAACCTCAAGACTGTGCCTCACTTGTGAATGACAGTTACCAATGTCCTGCACAGGTAGTCTAAGGCAAGCACCATTCTTCGCTTATCAGGATGGTTGGGTCCCAAAGGCCAGGACAGTGTGAGAAAATCTACTTTCCATTGACTTTATTGTTTTCTTTAGATTCTCCATGCACCATGCACCTTCTTATTACCTGACCCAGCATGGTCCACTAGGTGTGATGACATAGACCTAAAGGAGCTTATGTGAAGTTGAAACAAAACCAACGTTGGTGAAGCAGCCAGCACTGGACCAGGCTCAGTTTCCATTTGTTCATTCAACATGTCTTGACAACTTTTAGGTCTTCTTTGGAGAGATGTCTATGTGGATCATTTCCTCATGTTTTAATTGAGTTTTTAGTTTGTGTTTTCTGTCTTTTCATTTGGACCTGAGCAGGATGCTGAGATGCTAACTGGTGATCAACAAGTGTGGAAAGACGTTCAGGAAGCCCTGAAGAAACTTGAGGAATTGAAGGTACAGCAGAGTATCCTTTTCACTGTGGATTAAGCTGGGCTGTTGGGATTGCTTCTTTCTTGCTTCTAACATGGTATTCATGAGGCCAAGTCCAAGGTTTCACCTCCCCATGATCCAATGATCTTCAATCTATTTCATATTTACAGGCTGTGTTTCTGACCCTAGTCAACAATTTATATAATGGCTAAGAAAGATAATAACAAGATCGACCAGAATATCTCAATACTATTAGACTGTAAAACCAAGTTCATTGTCCAGTAATACCAGAAAAGTTATATTCTTCTTATAGATAAATGTTAACATATATCTATGTTCTTGTCTCCTGTAACTACCTTTAAGAAAGAATAACTTAGAATCTTTACAGTGTCATTGATCTTCAGATAGAGAACTTCGTAGTAAATCATCCTTAAGTACAATGGCAATAGGGTGGCCTTATAATAAATTTTCTTGATAATAAAGACCATGAATGGGTGAAACTAAAACCTCAGAATAAGGAGAGATTGTTTGTGATGGAGGTCAACTTGTTATTCCCTTGATGTTATAACTTGTCCTAAGTGTCCAGAATCAGACACAGAGTTTGGATGGCCAGGGGCAAGGAGGGTGGTCACCTGCAGTAGAAGAGTCCATTTAAGCAGGAGTGTGGTGAAGGGAAGTCAGTAGATAAGAAGAAAGAGGGCAAAGTGATTGTGAAAGATTATTCAGATTGCTTGGGTATTATATCCTAGGCACTAAGAAAACCCGCAAATAAAATTTCTACTCTAACGACAGTTAAAAAAATTGTAAATGACAGGAGAAACAGTTAAATGTTTTTCTTTTTAAAAATGAATGGTAATTTCTAAACTATGTGATCCAATGAGGTTTTTTCCCCCAGCAGTTCTGGTAAAAGATTTATAATACAGTTATGGAAGAAATGGAAATGAAAGCTGGAATCCCCAAGGTGCTTTTGGATTTACTAAGAGAAAGTAAATTCACATTTTCATTTCTACCTATCTGCCTTTTTAAGTAAAAATTTTATTTGTTGTTGTTGTTATGTGCCGTCGAGTCGTTTCCGACTCATAGCGACCCTATGCACAACAGCTCTAAACCCTGCTCTATCCTGCGCCAACTGCACCGCCTCTGACACACCCATCCCGATTACCTCAGTCACCGAATCAATCCATCTCATAGAGGGTCTTCCCCTCCTGCGCCGTCCCTCCACCCTCCCAAGCATGATGTCCCTCTCCAAGGACCCATCCCTCCTGGCAACATGTCCAAGGTATGTCAGACGAAGCCCCAGAATCTTTGCCTCCAAGGAGTAGCTTGGTTTAATCCTCTCCAAGATGAATCTGTTTGTTTTCCTGGCAGTTTACAAAAAAGTTTTTGGCAAAAATATTTAAGGCCTCTATTCTGGGTCGGTCTTATAGAGGGTGAAACCTAGTTTCCCCTTGGAGGCTAGGATTTTGAAGCTCCATCTCACATACCTTGGGCATGTGGCCAGGAGAGACCAGTTTGTGGAGAAGGACATCATGCTCAGAAGGGTGGAGGGACAGTGCAGAAGAGGGAGACCCCAGATGAGATGGATTGATACAATAACTGGGGTGATGGGGGTTGGTGTGTTGGAGTTATGGAGACTGACTAAGGACAGGGAAGCATTTAGAGCTGCTGTACATAGGGTCACTATGGGTTGCAGGCAACTTGACGGCACATAACAACAACAGCAACATTCTAGATCCTAGTATAACAAGGTATCTTACCAAACAATTGAAGTACTATCCTGAAAATGTGGTGCTAACTGGACCACTGTCACCATGGAAGGCTCTGCTCTCATCTCAGCCCTCCCAGCATCTTATTCAGTACCTTGAATGAAAGCATAAGGCGTAGGCCCATCCAATTTCCAACCATGTGCAGGTGAAAAAAATGGTAGAGAGAGGACGATAGAATCAGGAACTCAAAAGATCCCTGTAGGTTTGAATGGTGCCTCAGCATGAAAAGATAAAGTTTAAAGAGTATATGTCAAATTTTCTACTTGGCTAAAAAGTTCAACTGTATAAATATGCATAGAGCATAACATCAGGAGGACTTCCAGAAAGATGGCAGACTAAGCAGGCAGTAGTCCAGACTCTGTATAAAGGAGCTTCAAAGGAAATGATAGAAAAATAATCAAAATACAAAATGAAGAAGGAAAATATGGAATAAGGAAACAGATGGAGCAATGAATTGAGAACACACCTAATATAGCTGTTGTTGTTGTTGTTATGTGCCGTCGAGTCGCCTGCGACTCATAGCGACCCTATGTACAACAGCCCTAAACTCCGCTCTGTCCTGTGCCAATCACACTGTCTCTGACACTCCCATCCCAATTGTCCCAGTCACTGAATCAATACACCTCATAGAGGGCCTTCCTCTCCTGCGCCGTCCCTCCACCCTCCCAAGCATGATGTCCCTCTCCAAGGACCAGTCTCTCCTCACAACATGTCCAAAGTAAGTTAGACGGAGCCTCAGAATCCTTGCCTCCAAGGAGCCACCTGGTTTAACCCTCTCCAGGATAAATCTGTTTGTTTTCCTAGCAGTCCATGGTATTCTCAATACTCTTCTCCAGGACCACAGCTCAAAGGCATCAATTCTCCTTCTATCCTCCTTGGTCATTGTCCAACTCTCTGATGCATAACAGGTGATTGCGAAGACCATGGCCTGTATCAGACGCACCTTAGTCTCCAGAGAGACACCACTGCTCTTCAGCACTTTGGAGAGGTCCCTAACAGTAGACTTTCCCATGGCAATGCGCCTTTTGATTTCCTGGCTGCTGGTGCCAAGACTGTTGACTATGGAGCCAAGCAAACTAAAGCTGTGTACAATCTCAATCTCTTCACCATCCATCCTGATGCTGCCGATTGGTCCAGTGGTGAGAATCTTTGTCTTCTTGACATTGAGCCTCAATCCATATTGTAGGCTGCAGTCCTTGACACTGTGCAGCAGGCGCTTCAGGTCCTCCTCAGTTTCAGCAAGCAGGGTTGTGTCATCCGCATATAGCAATAAAGGTAAATGATATTACATATAAATACTGCAATATCATATGTTAATAGCGATGTTTTTACAATATGTTGTTGTTATTGTGTACCATCGAGTTGGAACTGACTCTTAGCTGAGCCTCGAGCAGGTCTTCAGAGGCAGTCAGTCACACAGGAGGAGATTGTCATTCCTTGTCCCACAGAGCAGCGGATTTGAACGGCGGAGAGTGGAATTGAACCGTGTGCCTTTGGGACTATAGGGTGAATTCTTACTGCTAGGCCATCAGAACTAAGCAATAATAAACATTTATCTACAAACAGATATGTAGGCACTCAGGCAAAATTAATAAATAAACACCTGTGAAGAGGACTACACCCACTGTACATACAAATCACACAGGTTGTTATGTGTTGTCAAGTCACCTGTGACTCATAGTAACCCTATGTACCGTAGCTCTGAACCCTGCCCTGTCCTGAGCCAGTCTCACTGACTCTGATATACCTACCCCCATTGCCTGAGTTACTTTATCAATGCATTTCATCCAGCGTCTTCCTCTCCTACCCTGTCCCTCAACCCTCCAAGCACGATGTCCTTCTCCAAGGATTGGTCCTTTGCCTAAGGATTTGACCACATGCCCCAAGTATGTAAGACAGAACTTTAGAATTCTATCCTCCAAGGAGAAACTTGGTTTCATCCTCTCCAAGACAGACCTGTTTGTTTTCTTGGTGGTCCATGGTATGTTCAAGATTCTTCTCCAGCACCATAACTGAAAGGCATCAATTCTTCTTCTGTCATCTTTAATCATTGTCTAGCTCTCTGATGTGTAGCAAGTAACTGCAAAGACTGTAGCCTGGATCAGGCCCACCTTAGTCTCTAGACTGACATCATTGCTTCTCAGTACTCTGGAGAGGTCCCTGAAAGCATATTTTTCCCAATGTAATTTGTCTTTTTATTTCCTGACTGCTGGTGTCAAGAGTATTGATTGTGGAGCTGAGCAAGCTTAAATTGTTAACAACTTCAGTCTCTTCTCCATCCATAATGGTGCTGCCAATCAGCCCAGTGGTGAGAATCATTGTTTTTTTGATGTTGAGCTCCAGTCCATATTGAAGACTATAGTCCTTGACATTTTTCAGCAAGCACTGCAGATCCTCCTCAGTTTCAGCACGCAAGGTTGTGTCACCTGCATAATGTAAGTTGTTGATGAATCGTCCTCTAATCCTGATGCCACATTCCTCTTCATAAATCCCAGCCTCTGGAATGATCTGTTCTGCGTAGTGGCCAAAAAATATAGAATAAAACTAAAAAACAAATAAAAAAACTTATTAAGATTGCCGGGCTTTCTGGTCCAGTGGAGACTGGTAGAAGTCCCAAGATTAGCTTTCATTACTATTCAAACCTGAAACAGAATTTATTCCCGTGGCTCCACTTTGAGCAAACGAAAGACAAGCAGGCCTGTATGATGAACAGAAACATCAGGTTTGGGGTGTTGGGTTTTTTTTAACTCTTTAGAATAATCAACTATATAAGACCCAAAGTCAATCCCAGGGCAATCCCAAAGGTAAGTCTTTCTAATCCACCAGCTGCTCCGTGGGAGAAGGATGGGCAGTCTCCTTCTGTGCGATTTACTTCCTCTGAAAACCCCAGCTATGGGGTTGGTTCTGAACCAAGAGTACACAACTACAACAGAGCTCAGAAGGCAGGAAAGGGTAAGATAGAAGAATTGATGGAAATAAGAATCAATCACAGGTAAAAGTGGGAAGGGTGTGGTTACATTGTGTGTGCTTTATTATGTCATAAAAAACTAAAGTGTATGAAAACCAGTTAGCTTTGCAGAGTTTTAGTGATATAACAAAAAGAAAGTAAACCCTTCGTAGTATAGTTATCCTCAGACAAAATTGGGCTTGCTAGGGATCAGAATTACTGAAACAGGAAAAAAATATGTTTAAAAAAAGTTTAGCAAAACAAATGAAATAATTTTAGATATTTTAGTAAAGAGTAAATTATACAGCCTAGAATGGTGGA